ATTATTCTGGATGACCAGCCGCTGTCTAAACTGAAATGCCATTTATTTAACAAAATTGTTTACAAACCTTAAATTCACACACCCAGGTATCGGAATCGGTATCGGCCAATACCCTGAGTCCAGGTATGGGAATCGGCCAATACCCTGAGTCCAGGTATGGGAATCGGCCAATACCCAGAGTCCAGGTATGGGAATCGGCCAATACCCAGAGTCCAGGTATGGGAATCGGCCAATACCCAGAGTCCAGGTATCGGAATCGGCCAATGCCCAGAGTCCAGGTATCGGAATCGGCCAATGCCCAGAGTCCAGGTATCGGAATCGGCCAATGCCCAGAGTCCAGGTATCGGAATCGGCCAATGCCCAGAGTCCAGGTATCGGAATCGGCCAATGCCCAGAGTCCAGGTATCGGAATCGGCCAATGCCCAGAGTCCAGGTATCGGAATCGGCCAATGCCCAGAGTCCAGGTATCGGAATCGGCCAATGCCCAGAGTCCAGGTATCGGAATCGGCCAATGCCCAGAGTCCAGGTATCGGAATCGGCCAATGCCCAGAGTCCAGGTATCGTAATCGGCCAATGCCCAGAGTCCAGGTATCGTAATCGGCCAATGCCCAGAGTCCAGGTATCGTAATCGGCCAATGCCCAGAGTCCAGGTATCGTAATCGGCCAATGCCAGAGTCCAGGTATCGTAATCGGCCAATGCCCAGAGTCCAGGTATCGTAATCGGCCAATGCCCAGAGTCCAGGTATCGGAATCGGCCAATGCCCAGAGTCCAGGTATCGGAATCGGCCCAGAGTCCAGGTATCGGAATCGGCCAATGCCCAGAGTCCAGGTATCGGAATCGGCCAATGCCCAGAGTCCAGGTATCGGAATCGGCCCAGAGTCCAGGTATCGGAATCGGCCAATGCCCAGAGTCCAGGTATCGGAATCGGCCAATACCCTGAGTCCAGGTATCGGAATCGGTTTCGGCCAGTATCAGTATCAGATATCAGTATCGGGAAGGGAAAAGGGGTATCGTGGAAGGGGTATGCCCCATCTGTGCAATCCTCTAATCACTAACAAGGATTTTAAATTGAACTGTAAATCTGAGAATTTAAGGAATTAAAACTGGAGTTATGCGAGATCTCTTTTATGACCAGAAGTTCTCTGTCCATTGAAGGCATGGTTCAGGAACATTGCACACAATGGAATTAGTAAAAAAAAAAAAAAAAAAAAAAACTGCTGTTATGGACCGAAATGGAGTTGATGTTTGTGCCTTCTGTTTCACAAATCATGAAATTGAAAGTATGTATCAAAACAGGCCATGGGTTTACAGTAAATGTTTTCTTCCAAGGTAGAACATGTCACCACGCAAGAACACGAACAATGAAACATGACACAAACAATCTTGATCGATCACCACACCCTAAGTGCTAAACAAAACTGAAATAAATCTATCTATAATACATACGAGAGAGGAATGTCACTGGGTTATGATCTATGAAAAGAATTACGGGTACAGGAGAATGTTGCAGATTTTTCCCTAACATTAAGTACGTCCTATATTATTTATACTCTGGTGCATCTACTCGTCGACGTCGGCTGGGCGCTACCTATACCCTAGCGTGTCTACTCGTTGGTCAGCTGGGTGTTACCTATATTTTAGTGCGTCTTCTACGGTGACAAAACAACCGACCAAATGGATTATGTGGCGCGATTTTCTGTTTTTGTGGTAGAACATGTCACCACGCAAGAACACGAACAACGAAACATGATTTAAACAATCTCGATCGACCACCCCACCCTAAGTGCTAAACTGAAATAAATGATCTATTCCAGACCTTAAAGTATGCACAGACTAAATTTTTTTGCATCTTGCGTACCTTCAACCAGATCCTTCCTGCAAGTCTGATTTAGAATGATCAAAATGTAAAATATAGCTGCAAGCAGCAATTACAGGGGCCAAGCAGCATAATACGACAAGACATGCCAACATTGCTGAAAGTGTCAAACCAATTGCAACAATGAGCAATTAAAGACATTTAAAGACAATTGTAGGCGAAATGGCTGAAAAATCATAGAAACTGTAAATAAAAATATGATTTAATGGATTATCACTTTCGACCAATAGGTGGCGCAGTTACAAAACTGATGTGATCAGAGTGAAGTGAAAATGACACGTATAAAGTTTGGTGTCAATATATTGCAGAGATAAAGCCTGAATAGTGCTTTTAGCATCATGCCTCAACTGTGCTGCTGCGCTATACTAAAACGGTTTCATCTATCAACACAAAATCTATAAGTTGTATCATCTCCAGACCGTGCCAACAGGCTTTATGCCCAGCTGCACTACTTCCTGAACTTCAGCCAGCTCCAAACTTGATTAATTCAGGTTTGTCTGATTATTGTTGCCTTGACTACTGAGGACAAGCACACCTGAATAAATCAATTTGGCCAATAATGGCAGACAGGAAACAAGGAGCTCGCTGAAGTTCAGGAAGTAGTGAAGCTGTGCATATAGCCCACTAAAATTCGATTTTGGTGAAAATTGGACAAACGGTCTAGGAGGAGTTAGAAAAAGTAGGTTTTGACTGAAAATCAAGATGGCGGACAGGAAGTTCAGCCAAATAAGGAAAACCTGGTATATGTTCTCAGCTTGACCTAAGGAATCTATTAAGACCAGTGGCATTTCAACAGGCAGATTTATTCAAAAGTTATTAGCCTTTTTGGAAATTTTGTTATAAGTTTTGACCACTAGGTGGCGCTGTTTCGAAATATTTTGTTTTTTTGTGTCCTCAGAGTGTGCCCTTACATATGTGTGTTAATTTTGGTAAAAATATCTTAATTAGCTTCAGAGTTATAGACATTTATATGAAAAAACACGTAAAAAATGACTGACACACGACTTTGTTTTAATTTTACTACCCCTTACTATCAATATTTTTGCATTTGGGCATTGTCGTTAAACTATCAACCTATTTCCAAACTTCCGACGGTGGTTTCGTCTCGATCGGTTTTGAAGATATAGCCAATTTTTTTTTCGCGCTAAATCGCGAAGACGACACCTAGAATGTTTGGTATCGTTGGACTCAGCAACGATTCAGGAACTTAAAAAGATGACTCCCGTGAAAATAAGTCGACCACACCCGAAGTTATAAGCATTTGAAAAAAACTTAACCACTAGGTGGCGCTGTTTCAAAACTTCTCAGGCTCCTTCAGGGCATTACCCATACCGAGTTTCGTAACAATTCGTTCATGCGTTCAGAAAATACAGCATTTTAGCTCCCTACCAGTAGGTGGTGCTGCGCTGAAACGCTGCATGTTGCCTCAGGATATGCTTGCGATGACTTGTGCCAAGTTTGGTCTGAATCCGATAAAGCGTTGCTGAGATACAGCCTTATGTCTGTTTTCCCAAGCGCTCCATAAAATGTGTATGTAGGTTTATCAAAAACGGTTAAGCGAATCAACTTGAATTTTATAACTTTTTGTCGTCTAGGACGAGTTCGAAAAAGTAGTTTTGGAAAATTCAAGATGGCGGCCATATTTTTATGACGGAAAATGACGTCATAGGGTGCAATCGAATCGGCATGAGCTCAGGATTTTTGATGATAGGCCTTACGGTTCAAAAGCTTAGCATATTAGCATAATAAAAGTGAAATTTTGGAAAGGTGGTGGCACTAGAAGGAATGAATTAGAAACATCAAAATTGATGTATTTGATGTTGGGACTGTCCTCTATCAGAATGTCAAACCAAAACAACTTTCCCGCAATCGGTTCTATGGGCTGCCATAGACTCCATGAGCGGAAGAAGAATAATAAGAACGTGAACAGATACAATAGGTGCCTCCGCACCTTTGGTGCTTGGGCCCTAATAAATAAAAAGCACAGATATATACATCCCTGATTTTCATGTCTCTGATTCAGAAAAGTAATTTCTTTTTGCTTGTTTGTGTAACTACAGGAACAATATTTTGGCCTTGTCGAATTTCTCTTTTCTGCATTATTTCAGTTGAGTTCCTGCAGGTGGTAGTTGGAGAAGACTCGGCAGAGACAATTGGTCAAACAGGGTTGAAGATTTCTGTAAACTATTAGTACACACTCAGCATGAAACCATTCAGAATTCAGCACATTTTACAACCTCAAATGGAAAAGATCACCACTGTAAAGACCTGAATCAACAGCCTTGTTCTGAGAAGACTAACTGAAACAACTACTAACACAGGGAATTGTTATTTTTTTAATCATGTTTGACCTAATATGGCCTGTCTAAAAACAAGTTTGTTCAAAAATAAGAAATAAATCGTTTCCACCAAAAAAAAAAAAAAAAAAAAGGTATTATCTCCCAATTATCTCAGACTAATTTTATCACAATATTGAGTTGAGTATTGAGCAACTTTTTTTCTCAGAATTGTGAGATTTGCGACTATTTCTGAGAGTTGCGAGTTTATATCTCACAATACTGAGAGAGAAAAAGAATTAAGAGATATAAACTCGCTTTGTGAGAAACATGAAAATGTAAATCGTTATTCTGCTAATCTGAACTGAAACATGGATCTTGCTCGCGTTTTCATCCACATCTAAAAATGTGCATTACGTTCGGTCAATGACTAATTTTGATCCTGAATGCGAACACGGAGGCTAGATACAAGTTTCGAAAACAGGAATATTATGACTAAATAAATATTTTATAAATAAATTACAGTCTGGAATGATATGAGGGCGAGTAATAAATCACAGTATTTTTTTTTTGGAGCGAATGAAAGCATTTTAATCAATGATAATAACTCCACATAATTAAGGATATCTGTGTAAAACCTTTTCCGTACAGTATTGTGATGGTTTTGTAAAAAAAAAAAAAAAAATTGAAGACAACAGTTGTAACACCCTTCCTTGTGGAAAAAAGCACACCCTCAGAAGTGAGGCAAATCAAAATCCATTGGTATAGGCTGAAACTGACCTCTTTGTCTTATAGGGTACAGCGATCTGCTCCAGGAATTAATTGCATATAAAGGGCAAAGAAAGTGTACAAGCTTCAAGATCAAAATCTCAATGATTGAAGATGATATTCCCACTTAAAATTGAGTTTTGGTTCAGCATCCCTGTGCCCATAGAATCTTATTTTTCACAGGGTGGGTCCGCACTTGTTCAGCACCGTCACATTGTCTTCGGTTTGGGTTTTGTGCCGTGATTCGCTGGGACAGATTCCGCCATGGCGTCTAAGTGGCCTTAGTGATGGTTTTGAAAACCAAGGGGGTGTTCACAGGGGGTGTTACCTGAACACTCCCACGTTGATGGATAAGGCCACCTCTGGTTTCCTGTTTTTAGCTGAGCCTTTCTTGGACCCAGAGTCTTGTGAACATTCTCCACTGGCAGTACGCCCCCTAGTGGACAACATAATCAAACCGTCATTGAGACGTTACTGTTCAAATTTTTTTTAAAGTCTCTTATGCTCACCAAGGCTGTATTTATTATAACAAAATACAGTAAAAAACATAAATTTGGTAAAATATAACAATTTTAATATATTTTAAATGTAATTGATCCCTGTGATGGCAAAGCAGAATTTTCTAGAATCATTACTCCAGTCTTCAGTGTCACTTGATCCTTCAGAAATCATTCTAATATGCCGATTTAGTGCTCAAGAAATATTTCTGCTTAATTCTTTTCTGGACAGGTTTTTATGACGAATATAAAGTTCATAAGAACAACATTTATTTGAAATAGAAATATTTTGTAATATTATAGTCTTCACTGTTACTTTTGATCAAATAAATGCAGCTTTGCAGAGCTTTCAAAAGAGAATTTTCAAAAACTAAAAATTCTACAGAACCCAAACTGTGTCCAAATGTTATAGCACTCTTAATTCTACACGTTTAATCAAACAAGCAAAGGGTGTCTCTTGTAATCCTGAAGAGAAGGCAATAAAAAAAATAAAAATAAATTCACCTTGTGTTGTGATTCTCCTCCCTGAGTCTCTGCTGACCAATCTCATCTTCCAGAGTAGTGAATTCTTTATTATTGTCTATTAGCAAATTCTACACACATGCCAATACAAAGGAAACAAAAAAGTAAGAGAGGCATTACTGAAGACCCAAAAATATTAAGAAAACGCTTTTTTTACAAGTCTATCACACACTATTTATGTTAGCTGATCAATACTAAATTAAACCTAAATTAGACACAAATGAAGATATTTTTCATGAAATCTGAGATTTCTGTTGAAAGTCCATTGAAAGTCTATTCACCTGGCGCTTCAAAACTCTTATTAAAGAGATAATAAATCCATATGAATAAACCTAAATTAAGTCAATTCATGATTTCAAAAGTCTTGGGTTAAACCACTTGATTCATATGGACTTATTATCTCTTTAATAAAAGTTTTGAAGCGCCAGGTGAATAGACTTCAAATGGACTTTCAACAGAAATCTCAGATTTCATTAAGAATATTTTCATTTGTGTTGCTCTGAAAGTGAGGAACTGCAACTGATGACAGAATATTTTCATTTTGGCTGAACTATCCCTTTAAAATAAAAAGATTCTTTATTCAATTTACCTTGACGCCTATACTATCTCCATCTTTCAGGTAGAAAGGAGCTGCCTGGAGACTCTCAGCTTTCCTCTTCTTCTTCTTTTTTGAGACCTGTTGTATCTGGAATTATTCAGATTTGATTATTCAAGTATAATCTTAACTCTATAGCTCTTGCCTACAAATAGTCTATTCCCACTTTCCCTCTCTCTTCTCACCCAGTTGGAAATGGGCATCCAGGTGTGTTTGTCAGGCAGGTGTTTAGCCAGAAGCAGGTTGTCAGGAGTGAGACCGTACTTGGAGGCCAGAGCAGCGTACAGGCCCTTGGGGGTGCTATCCCTCCCGGCGTCCCACAAAAACTCCTCAGAGGGATAATATGCCTTCTCTCCTGGCACCCCCATATGAACCCTTAGCAATAAATCCTTTAGCCTGAACAGATTATGAGAAAAGAACCATCAGTGTTTTTCAAACAATCTTGTTTCTTTCTTCCATGGAGAATGTCTCACCCCAGGTCTTCCTCTTTCATCAGCCTCTGAACACACACCTCCGCCCCATTCCCCAGCTTCAGCTTCCTGCAGGGATAGGAGGACTTTAACCCCAAATACAATAAAAAGAGTGCCAGTGCCACATCTGGAACCGTTTAGTGTGGAAAAAGGGGAACAAAGACCTCAGACAAAAGAGCAGAGCATAAACAAAATCCTAATTTATCAACCTGAGGGTCTGCTGGTTTCCTCTGAGTATCCTGGCCAGTTTCTTGCACTCTAGCAACCACACACGCAGGAACGCAGGGCTGGGAACACACACATCCTGAAGTGCCGGCAGAGTCATCACCTACCGAAACACATATATGGCTTTACTCAAGGGATGGTGATGCGACAGTGCTGCATTTCACACATTTCACAAAAATATACACTTCTGTTCAAAAGTTTGGGGTCTATAAGATATTTTTGGAAATGTCTAAAATGCTCATCAAGCCCATTTATTACATCGAAAATACAGTAAAATATTGTGAATATTATTACAATTCACAATTCTATTTTAATATATTTTAATATATTTAAAGTGTCATTTATTTCTGCAATGTAAAGCTGAATTTTCAGCATCATTATTCCAGTCTTCAGTGTCACATGATCCATCAGAAATCATTCTAATATGTCAATTTGCTGCTCAAGAATATCTTAGTCTCATCAATGTTGAAAACAGTTTTTTGTGTAAACTGATTTTACATGATTCTTTAACAATGAATAGAAAAGTTCAAAAGAAAAGCATTTAAAACAGATTTTTTTTGCATTGTTAAAAATGTTAAGATTTTTTGTTTTTAAATTAAGTCTTTTCTGCTCACGAAGGCTGCTTTATTTGATAAAAAAAAATATTTGATGAAAAAAAATGACAAACAGTGATATTGTAAAATATTATGACAATTTAAAATGACTGTTTTCTATTTTAATATATTTTAAAATGTATTTTGAAAGCTGAATTTTCAACATCATTACTGTTGCTGATTACACATCAGTTTTCAGTGTCACATGATCCTTCAGAAATCATTCTAATATGCTCAAAAAACATAAATTATTATTTTCAATGTTGAAAACAGTCGTGTACCATTTTTGCCCCAAAATTCTATGATGAATAGAAAGTTCAAAAGAACAGCATTTATTTAAAATATAATCTTTTCTAACATTACAAATGTCTTTACTGTAACTTTTGATCAATTTAACTCATCCTTGATGAATAAAAGTATTTTCTAATTTCTTTCCCCCCAAAATAAAAAATAAATTCTTACCGACCCCAAACTTTTGAATGGTAGTGATTAATGTTACAAAAGCTTTCCATTTCAGATCAATTCTGTTCTTTTGAACTTTTTATTCAAAGAATCCTGAAATAAAAATGTAAAAAACAGTTTTCATCATGGATAATAATCATAAATGTTTCTTGAGCATCATATTATAATAATTTCTGTAGGATCATGTGACAATGAAGACTGGAGTCATGATGCTGTAAATTCAGCTTTGATCACAGGAATAAATTACACTTCACTATATATTCACATAGAAAATCGCTGTTTTAAATTGTAATAATATTTCACAATATTACTGGGGGGTTTTTTTTGTATTTTTTATCAAATAATTGCAGCCTTGGTGAGGAGAAGAAACTTCTTTTAAAATGATAAAAATCTTACCGATCTAAAACTTTTGACCGGTAGTGTATATATATATTATCATACTGATCCCCAAACATTTGAACGGTAGTGTACAGCATTTCTTCACTAGCTTCTTAAACTTTTTTTTTTTTAATTCATTTAATCTTTAAATAAGTGAAGGTGAAGCATGTAAATTTTTTTCATTTTACAATATTTTCTCTTATCCCAGTTTAATATGCAGAATATTAAATAAGCTGTTTGAAGACTGTATTTTTTATTTAACAGTAAAAGGGTCTCCGAACTCACTAAAAGTATGTAAAATTGAGCCAAATGGAAAGCGTTACACAGGTTGTTTTGTCTTCATGCATTTTTATATCAATAAACTTAAGCTTTAATAAAAGATGATGTAAAAATTTTCCATTGCAAATACAACCACTGCCCTATGACCATTTCAAACTAAATCTCTAGACAAATGTTTTGTACATATTTTGGTTGGATTGTGCTAGATTTATGTGGGAAAAGTATTGGGAAACAAAAATTATTTTTGAAATTCTGTATGTCGCAGCTACTAAAATGACACTTAATCTTTAAGTTATTATTATCTGCTGCTGTCATTAATGCTGTGAGTAGTGATGCCAACCTGAGTCTTGAGGTCATCGAGTGAAGCCTCCTCTGATATCTCCACATAACCAATGAATCTCATCTCTGATCCAGACCACTCTGGAACACCAGGACACATAAACATAAGCAAGCATAAACCAGAGCTATTCTTTAAAGCACTCATAATCTGACAAAAACAACAAACTGAATGCCACTTGGTTTATAGAAAATTTGGTAAAAGTCGAACCTGTGGTGAGCGCCTCGATGCTCTGAGACTCTGTTGTGTGGTTCAGCTCTGGAATGCTGGAGCTGTGGATCATGTCCATGTACATCCTCACAGACAGCTTGAGGTAACCCTAAAGTAGAGATGAGAGAAAAAAAGATGTATTTCCTTTTATTCTTACACAAGAAATCTTTCCAAACTGAAAACGCACCTTTGGAGGCAGCCGCCCCTCCACCAGCACCAGTGTGTCCCCATGAATGACCTTTGCCTCTTTCAGAGATGCATTCTAGGAAACACAAGTAAACAGGAGTCAATATTTGAAACAGACAAAAAACAAAAAAGAAAAGAGGAGTAGTACTGATATTTGGAGTTCCCACCTCATCCATAAGTGGCTCTCCAATCTCCTCACACCAGTCCACTCTCCTTAAGTGCCACGACTCACCTGGAGAGAGAAATGCTTGTTTCGTTAATAAATCTGAGAAAGCTAGTTGAGTTCACCCAAAAATGAAAATTCTGTCATTAATTACACACTCTCATGTCGTTTCAAACCCTTAAGACTTTTGTTTATCTTTGCAACACAAATGAAGATCTTTCTGATGAAATCTGATGAAAATCAGTTACATAACTGAAACTTAAATTGTAAAACTAATCAATATGAATTGAGCCGTTTAGTCCAAATAAGTCCCAGGAGACACAATCGTTTTCATGTGATAAGCAGATTGAATTTAGAAGAACTATCCCTTTAAATGTACAATTAAACATTTGAAGAATTTTACCTTCAAGCCTCGCCATCTGCAACATTTCCTTAAGGCACTGGAATAAGAGGAACCAGCCATTTTAAAACAACTTAAATTTCAGATTACTAGTAGAATTTTTTATTTTTTTTTTTAAACAGAGTTCACCTCTTTGACAGTTAGAGACTCCTCTACAATAATCTCCAGCTCCTGGCCGACTGAAGGCACAAGACCAACACTAAAGTACAAGAACAACTGCAAGGAGAAAACATATTTTTTTTATTATAGGAGGTAAATGAACAGGAAAAAAGTCAAAAAGAGATCATTCACACAAGCCCAAATTGTATGGACGCACCTGAGTTGTTGTTAGCACTGGTCCAGGGCACAGGTAGAGTGAAGTCATCAGCCTGATCCCTGCATCCCGAACACTCAAATGCTCATACACTAGAACACAGACAAACCAATTTACCATGTATACCTTTAAAAGGATCACATGATCATTTTGAAAAGTACCTGGTGGTAAAAGTTTTCCACTTCGGTCCATTTGCCTCAGACAGCACTCAACACCTAAACAGGAAAAGACAAGAGACACACTGATTCCAAACTACAAAATATATTGGCATTTGTAATGAACTGAATCAGCTGTAAAGTATTTTTTCTTTTTGGCTGATATGTGTAAGAGTAAAAGTAAAAGTCATATGGCTTTCTATTATTAGTAAAAAAGGCAAATGTATAATACTTTCTCATATACTGTTTATTTTACAGGTTTACTTTTACAAATTATATGTAAAACCAATTCAAATGTACTTGATTTAACATCTATATATAGAGTAGCATGGATGTGTCCAAACTTGCATACTTTGATTAGAATAAGTAAGTATTATGAATAAGTATTTTCTTTGTGACAGCTAAAAACTACATCCTCCATATTGTCCTTATCACATGACCTACTAGTGAGAGTTTTACTGCCATTCACAAATCCTGTCCCGTGGCCTCAGAGATTGTAAAGTGTCCTTAGTACACACACTTCAGAATATCGCCCAAGTAGTTGGTCATCCGGGTACCTTTTTTTTTGCGTACTTTTTTTATTAGCACTGTGAATTCAGACAAACTACTCTTGTCGCATACTGTATTTCACCTGATATACACCAGGGAAGTATGTGATTACGGATGTAGCCCATATCATATATCTGCTTTATATCAGCCATCAGCCACCCAAAAAGAACATTTTGTATCGGTCGATACAAAATATTGGCAAACAAAACACTCTTTCCTGACAAACAAGTACTACTTTCTACTCTTCTATTTTAAAATGGTGCTCTGCTAAAAAGCTGTTTTTCCAGGCAGCACTGATATAGAATGAAAAAAATAAACAGAAAACTAAAGCTATGAGAAGCCTATGGGATGTTACTGAGTATTTTTGAGTCTTTTAAAAAAAATTTAATTATTAAATTATTACTAAATATTATTGGGGCTTATTATTAAGTGTTCTTACCACTGAGCTCGTCCTGTAGCCGAAGTTCCTCAAGAGCTTTTTCCTTCACCTCCGCCAGCAGCTACAAGAGTCACACACAGCAAATCAGCACAAGTGTACAATAAGTGTACAACTACAATCAAATATAAATATTGAATGATAAACTTCAAAATTATAAATTTTACCTTAGCTGCTAACTGAAATAAAATAAGTTGAAGTACTAAAATTACTGAAATTGAAATTAAAATAAAGCCAAAACAGAAAAAGATACAAATGACAAAAGCGTATAACAAAATGATTAGGTAACACTTTATTCCGATAGTCCACTTTAGACATTGATTCTACTAACTAACACGGAACTTCGCAAGAAGTCAACTCAGAGTATTAGCAGACTGTCAGCTTAATATCTGCTAAAACTTTATTTTGGTGCTCCTCCAACACACATTCTACTGATGATAACTTACACTTATACTGAAGTCAACTTATTCTACTAGCCTGAACCCTAACACCTGCATACAAATATACATGAATATTTTTATTCTCACCATGTTCCCTGAAGCCGAGACTTTACTCTTTTTCTTCCCCTGCTCCTCCTCCTCCTCTTCCACCTTCATTCCACTCTGTGGGCAAAACTCCACCTGCAGCCACCGACAGTCTGAGGGCGTTGTCACGGTAACCATGTCACCATTGAGGCTGAAGATACTGTGGAAAATCATGGTTCCTATTAGCCATTTGAAATTTTCTTCTAAAATGATAATTTTTTAATCAAGCTTGTATATTTAAGTTCAGTGATTTCACTTAGATGACAATTAATAGGTAATCTTCATTGCCATTTAAGGGAAATTCCTGAACTTAAATATACAAGCTTGATAAAAATTATCATTCTAGAAGAAAATTTTCAAACGGCACTTAAGGCGCTTTTCCACTGCATAGTACGGTACGGTTCGGTTCGGTATGTCTCACTTGTGGTGCTTTTCCACTGCATGGTACGGTACAGTACGGTTCGCTTCAGGTCGCTTTAAATGGTACCTGGTCTGTTGAGGTTCCAAGCGTACCGTACCGGTACTACAATGTGACGTGAAACACTGCAGATCACTGATTGGTCAGACAGAATCGTCACTACCAGCGTCACTACTAGCGTCATTGGATGTGCGACACGAGACACGAGACACTTTTTTTATCAGTATTTTTGTTTTGCTGCCATCAGCCTCATTTTAAACACATTTTTCCGTCTAGCAGTTAAAAACAACCACATACCGAGAATCAGGAACACCATCCCCTCGATAGTCTTCATTGTTCCTGTGTTGTGGGTTTGAAAATGTGGCGCTTTTAAGATGATGTCATGGCAGTAGAGGTGCGCGCAAATAACGATCAGTCCCACACACTTTGAAGGGGTACTACTGCAGTGGAAACGAAAAGCGATCCGAACTGTTCCGCGCCGAGTCGAAGTGTACTGAGCCGAACCGTACCGTACTATGCAGTGGAAAAGCGCCATTAGAGGCTTTTGCATCTGAACTATATATATATATATATATATATATATATATATATTTATATATCAATCACTTCTCTGGTATCTGTGTTGGGAAATGTTAAATGTTACTGTCTTTTTTGAAAGATGTTTATTTAATTGAAAATAATTGTTTGTTCATTTTTCATTTTTCGAAACACAAATTAAGATATTTTTAAAGTGCCACTTTTATGCTTTTCAAATATTACCTTTCATGCAGTGTGTAATATAGTTTGTGAATGTAAAAGCAAGGTCTGCACAGTTTTAAAGATCAAAGATCACTTCCGTAAAATATCCATGTACGTTAGAAACAAATTTGCATAATGCCAGTCTGTGGTCTTCATTGGCTGCCCATGAACAACATCTACCCCCCTCAAACACTGTAGTTGTAGCTGAGGCCAGGAAGATACTGTTTTCCGTTTGCATGCACTTCCAAAGTTTGGAGACGCCCAACATTCAACCCGAAAATAGTCATATAACCATTGCAATAACTCCGAAGCTATTCAGTTAAGGTAAAAAAAATGCATAGTGCTGCTTTAAATAGTTAAAAGGTGCGTTTAATATACATTTTGCTGTGTAAAAAAGGCAAAAATTGTGAAATTGCTTCTCTTACCTGCTGTCTAGTTCCTCTGGCTGCAGCAGCAGTACAGCGTCGCCGTCCTTCAGAGAGAGCTCTCTCAGTGTCCTCTGCATGTCCTGAGGTGGAAAAACCCTCCAGCCACTGGCCCCGCCCCCACTGGCCCCTGGACGACTCTGCTCCTGGCACAAAAAGGCCTCTTGGGGCCCTAGAGCCTCGAGCACTGTACCCAGAGTGGCCCCACCAGCAAAGCCCTTCATGGAACGCACCAGACCAGATCCATCAGTGTCTCCGACCCCTGACTCATCCCCACATCCCAGCTCTTCAGCAGAGGGACGCAACACAGTCAACAAAACAGGCTCCCATTCAATGCCTGTTTGCACCACCACACCACTGACCTGAAAAAAAGAGAGAGAAAAGAAAAGGGAACCATCAATTTGGCTCTAATGTTTTGAAATTGCAATCCATCCAGTCTCTTTTTCACCAACTGAGCGCCAAAACCCGATACATGAGTTTACAAAGAAGAAATGGTGGTTCTAGACCAGAAAAAATTGGATTTTTGTATGTAACCAGAAGTAAGATTTGTAAACCAAGATCATAAACAGGTTGTGTAGCATCACTGTCAGTATACAACTCTCAAATCAGTGGACACATGGGCCAGCTCTGAAAGGTTCACAGATCCCTCAACTGAGCACAAGCAGAGCACCGACTCAATATTTTGGTAGAAACTGGATAATATCAATTTCACAACAAATCCATATAGGATAGTAGTCCATAAAGTATTAGTTGCCCACCTCTCTTCCATTCCACACAAAGAGATCAGAGCCATTACACACTCCTGCACTATAAAGCGACATCTGGTCATCTGAAACAATACAAGACATAAATGATCATTCAGAATAACTAATGTATACTACTGTAATAATACAGTAATACTGTGAAATATTATTACAGTTTTAAATGCGATTTATATTTTGATTTATTTCAAAAAAAATTTATTGTATTCCTGTGACAGCAAAGCTGGAATTACAGCATCATTACTCCGGTCTTCAGTGTCACATGATCCTTCAGAAATGATTCTAATAGGGATGGGCAACGATTAATCGCGATAAATCGCATCCAAAATAAAAGTCTGTGTTTACTATATGTGTGTGTAGTGTGTATAATTAATTTGTATATATAAATACCCACACATGTATGTGTATATTTAAGAAAAATGTGCTATTAATATATCAAATATTTATATTTTATTAGGGCTGGGCAAAAATTACTTGCGATTAATCGCATCCAAAATAAAAGTCTGTGTTTACATAATATATTTGTGTGTGCTGTATATAATTATTTTGTATATATAAATACACACACATGCATGTATATATTTAAGAAAATGTGTTATATATAAAATATTTATAATTATATAATATAGATTATATATTTATAAATATATACAGAATTTAAGCGCAAATAATTCTTAAATATATACATGCATGCATAGGTATTTATACAAAATAATTATATACAGCACACACAAATATATTATGTAAACACAGACTTTTATTTTGGATGCGATTAATCGCAATTAACCTTTGCACAGCCCTATATTTTATATAATATTAATTATGTATAAATATATATAAAGTATATAAATGCACATATTTCTTAAATATATACATGCATGTGTGTGTATTTATATATACAAATTAATTATACACACTACACACACATATATTGTGTGTGTAAACATAAACTTTTATTTTGGATGCGATTAATCATTGCCCATCCCTATTCTAATATGATGATTTGCTGCTCAGACAAGGCTGTCTGAAAGTGTCTGGAAGGGCTTTACAAAACATGTTAGTGCAAATGTAAGAAAACTGTAAATGAATTCACCTGTCAGTGTATCATACAAATGTAACCCAGCTGGCACATTCTTAGCCAATGTCAATGCCATGTCTCCTTCCCAAAGATCCTGCATCTACAAACCAAAGTCAAAGATTAAAAAAAAACTTGACATATTCTGTCAAATCTAATCTAACAGGGTTTTCATTTACATTAAAATTGTTTTCGCTCATGTAACCAAAAATGATCAACAGCATATAAAATAAAATGTATTTGATTGGTTGCGTTGTCACTGAAAAATCCCTGGTGTGTAAACAGCACCTGGTAGATGGCCAATCGCAGGTCTCCCACAGTCTTTCTGCGGTCGAAGGTGACAGTGATGATGGAGTCTTCGCCCAGGGCTGTGGGGTGTAGGGCTCCATTTTGGCAGTGATAATGAGGGGCCAAGTGCAGCCTCACTTCAATGCTGTTGCTGCTGGCATCAAACTCAGCTCTACAAGACACACATGACATGAACATTGCATAAAACACCACATGCTCACTCAGTGTGTGAGTGTATATGAAGTCACCTCCTCTGCTGAACTCTTGCATTCTCCTCTTGTATCATCTCCACCAGGTGAGGAGGCACTTTGTAGGCAGGGTTTCCTATGGCTGTTTAAAAACATACAAAAAAGCATTTCTACATGTTTTAGTATTTACCAGTCAAACAAATAGATTTTTACTTCATTAGCACACATAGGGTGAACAAAAACCCTGTTAAAATTGGCCTTTGTTTCATGCGTGTTTTAAAAAAATGTTAACACAGCATACCCTCTGGAGGTCTTTTCATAGTTGTCTTCCTGTAAAAGAGCATGTAGGCACTCTCTTTTCCCTGAAACTGCTTCTCGATGTCCTTCAACGTAATGGATGTTACAGTGGAGTCGTTCAGATCAAACCAATGACATCCATCAGGGCCTTCTGTGTCTCCTGCTGTTTCTGGCTTTATGTTCTCTGGGATGCTTTTGGCTGGAGTTGAACTGACTGGTTCTGTTGGTCTGGGTTCTGTGGCCGCAGGAGCATTTTTCAGAGCTACACGGGTTCCATTGGAGACCAGCATAAAGACTTCAGGGTGGTTCTGAAGAAACTGGAGGAAGAAAAATGGTCATATGACTTTTTCAAATCTCAATGTAATTAAATTGATCAAAATAACCTTAAAGAATCGACTAAGATACACCACTACCATGAGCATGAAAAGTGATCCATTACCATAAAGTTTGATGTTTCCTGCAGCTATTCTAGCATTTGAACTACAAAAGTGAAAATGTATATTGCAGCACTGCAAATATTGTTGGCCAGTATGATAAAATGCAATATAACACACTACTGTTAAAAAAATTCTGGATCAGAAAGACTTTTTCTTTCATATGCACACAAAGCTTGCATTTATTTGATAAAAAAACAGCAAAAACACTTGTGAAATATTAAAATAAATAGAAATACCGGTTTCCATTTTAATATATATTAAAATGTTATTTATTTCAGAAAAAACCCTGATCTTTCACCAGTGTCAATCATTCTAATATGCTGATTTGGTGCTCAAGAGACTTTTGACTTATTGTCAATCTTCAAAACAGTTGTGCTGCTAACAATTTTTGTGAAAATTTGATGAATAGAAAGTTCAAAAAGGGCTGTCAAACGATTAATCGCGATTAATCGCATCCATAATAAAAGTTTGTGTTTACATAATATATGTGTGTGTAGTGTGTATACTTATTTTATATATATAAATACACACACATGCTTATATATATTTAAGAAATATTTTCATGTATATAGATTTATATATAATTTATATTATATAGAAATATAAATATTTTATATATAAATATTTTTTTTCTTAAATATACATGCATGTGTGTGTATTTTTATATATACAAAATAATTATACACAGTGCACACACATATATTATGTAAACACAAACTTTTATTTTGGAAGCGATTAATCACGATTAATCGTTTGACAGCCCTAGAATTTATATGATTATTTCCCAGATCAATTTAGGTGATCTGGAAATGTCATTACTGTCACGATTGATCAATTTAATGCATTCTTGTTGAATATAAGTTTTAATTGAAATTATAAACAAAACCTGTTATATTATAATGATACATTTAAATACTGAGTAATATTAACTACATGTACTTATAGGGTTAGGTGCATGTAAATTACGCATAATTTATAGTTATTATTACTATAGTAACTATATGTAACAAAGACACTGCAAAAATAAAGTGTAACCAAAAAATCTTACTGCACCCAAATGTTAGTGTCTCTATCTCTTTATAGTGTGAAGTATATACTTTGGAACCCTAACCTTGCTGATGGTGCCATACTGTTTTTTGTATTTTTTGCTCCATGGCGTGCCGGTTTTATTCATCAGCTTTTGTCCCAGCTGGTCTATGAGCACACATTTTGAATCCTCCTGAGAAAAAAAAAAAACAAGTAAAAATCAGTATGTGAAAATTGTTTGTCCACAAAATTTAAGAAATATTGATTACAGCTGTTGTGCCTTTCAAAACTCGGTTCCCTTTATTGAGTCGTGAAGTAAATGAAAAGTCATTTTCTTAATTCGAGAGGGAATTTCATTATTACATACACTAAATAACAGCTATGAATCACAAAGTGTTAATAATATTTCCAACATCTACTGTAGAGCTGTATGGTGTAGCATACCTGAGCCAGAATGCCAGTAAGAACAGAAAGTGGATCCTCAGTCTCTACACAGTTCTCATTCTCCTTTTTTTCCTGAACTTTGGCCTCTTGTCTCTGGGTCTTGGCCTTTATTTTTACCTCTTCCTCCTGTGGGACGTTGGGGGGGGGGATACATTTGGAGTGGACTGCTTAATATTGAACTAAATATACAGACTGCAATAAAAACCAAAAGACTAACCGGTGCCTCCCAGTGGCCAAGATGGTCGATGTCTTTGATGTAGACATGATAATGTCCTCCATAACAGCCTCCTTTATGTATGATGACAGAGAAGAGCTCATACGAATACTCGGAGTCTGGCCAATTGTTCTGTCAGAAACACAGAACATGTTCATTCTCTGCTTTGATGAGGGATAACAATATAAATGTTCTCAACAGATGCTAACAGGATGTATTCTACACAAATAATAGACTTGTTTATTTGGCTGGAGAGTTTGTAATACGTGTTTGTGTACGATTCAGCTCTGGTACCTGCTCACAAAACGGTCTGAGGTTGAATTCAAGAGGAAAAGTGTAGCTCCCGGTCTCTTTGTAGCGCTCACACTTGGCAAAGTCGAAGTTGAACCTCAACAAAGAAATGGTCAGGAATGGTGGAAGTTTTCTCAGTTTAGCAGACTGTGACAAAAGACAGAATTAAGCAGGTTTATAAATGACTACAGTACTCATCTGAAGTGCCATTTCACATGTTCCAAACCTGTATGAATTTCTTTCTTCTGCTGAACACAAAAGTAACTAAACAGTTGATGGATCCCATTTTTTTCCCTTTCCGTAGTGGGAAAAAAATACTAGCACATCAACTGTTTGGTTACTGGCATTCTTTAAAATATTTTCTTTTGTGTTCAACAGAGAAAGATGACAGAATTTTAATTTTTGAGTGAACTATCCCTTTAATCCATTAACTAATGTTAACAAATGAGACCTTATTGTAAAGTGTTACCAAAATGGAAGACCGCTATTATAATACTTAACAATATTACTGTTTTACTGTATTTTTAATCAAATAAATTCAGCATTGGTGAGCATAAGAAACAACCTTGGTAGTGTACCTTAGGGAAACAGGTAAATAATTAAAATGATGACATTATGACCCATTTAAATAAATATCTAACTGCTGATTTGGGGATTTTGAATTGTTGTATAAGGCCTTAGGAAGATAAATGACCAAATGAACAGTATTGACTGACCTTAGCAGCCCGAACCAGCTGGTCACATCTGCTGCAGCGGTAGAGATTATTCCCCTCAAACATCTCCTCCTCCACAAACATGTTCCACAGCGCCTCCTCTAGTCCACTCACACCCCGCACTGACACGGTCAGGTCCAGAAAGTCCTCCTGAGAGAACAGAAAGATAGTGAGAGTGGGGAATGCACAAACGAATATTTGCATTTATTGCTCAAAAACACAGTAAAATTGTGAAATAGTATTACAATTCAAAAAATGGTTTTCCATGTGAATATATTTTAAATAGCAATTTATTCCGGTAATGCAAAGATGATTTTTCAGCATCATCACTCAAGTCTTCAGTGTCACATGATCCTTTAGAAATAATTATAAGAAGCTGACATTTCTTATTTTTATCAATGATGTATACAGATTTCCTGTTTACAGTTTTTCTTTAATAAATTATTTACTTTTGAACTTTCTATTCATTTGAAATATAAATCTTTTGTAACATTATAAATGTCTTTAGTTTCACTTTTGGTCAATTGAATGCATCCTCACTTGATTATTGACCCTAAATTTTGAACAGTAATGCATCATAAATATTAAATATGCACTACTTTTTTTTGCTGCTTATTTTAAAGAGGTTACAAATTGGGCCGCTAGAGGAAAAATTAAGTCGCACATGCTCCATTCTGACCTGTCTCTCACTAATATTGCCGCACTCCTTGCAGGTGATCTGGTTGACAAGCGTCCCATGGTACAGCCGGTGAATGAGACTGCTGCCTGAAGTGTCCACTAAAGAGCTCTCCAGAGCACTGAACAGGATCCGGTTCAGCTCCTGCACATCCTGCTGGCCCATTTCCTGAAGACAAAAATCAAAGCATAAGATGAATGATTTTAACAAACTGACAGATCATTTCAGTTTAGCTTTAACCAGTCTTTAAGTGATATAGTTCACCCAAAAATTTAAATTCTGTCATCTAACCCTCAAGTTTTTCCAAACCTGTATGAGTTTCTTTCTTCTGTTGAAAATAGAGCCCGACCGATAAAGGATTTTGAAGGCCGATACCGATACAAATATTTTTGAGTTTTAAAATCCGATATTCCGATATATCGGCCGATATTTTATTTATTTATTTTTTTAAACTGGACATGATAGTCACAAATTTTGTCATGCTTATTTGAGTTAAGAGAACAGATGGGGATGATCTTTTAATTGTTATTTAAGCAATGTATGTCTCGTGACCAACTCAACGAGTGTTGCCAACAGGGACGGTGTAGAGTGCCCTCTGGTGGACAAACTATACAACTCCAACACTCATGACATGGTTCAAGCGTGTTTCGCTGTTTTATTTTATTTTTGAAATATTCATTTATCGGCCATTATAACTGCCGATACCGATAGTTTGGAAAATGCCTAATATCGGTCTGCCGATATATCGGTCTGGCTCTAGTTGAAAACAAAAGAAAGAATGTTTGTAACCAGACAGTTGATGGACCCCAATTACTTCCATAGGATTTATTCCTACTATGGACATCAATGATTACTGTGTGAACTGTCTGGCTACTCAACATTCTTCAAAATATCTTCTTTTGAGTTCAACAGAAGAAAAACTCATACAAGTTTTTTTGGTGAACTATCACTTTAAGGATCTGGAATTCAACACAAAGATCACGGGGTTAATTATAAAAAATGACCGGTTGCTGATTTTGCCTAGATCATTTAGCCCCAAATTTAGATGCGGTGACCCTGAGGTACCACTTAACCTTAGATTACTACAAAGGGATTGTTTTTGAAATTAGTCACAGTTACATGAAAAGTACCTGCTAAATACAAAGTAATGGTGCGTTCACGTGCTATGAAAAATATTAAATTTTCCACTTGTGAACTGGTATTTACCAGTGTGTTGCGTTCAAGTGCTTTTGTTGTCGTAATGTGGTAAAAAGATGGATATCCAGACAGCTAAAACTATTTTAGATTGCTTAAGTCATCTGCTACAGCAAGAAAATTATTTATCAAAACTCAAATGGTAAATAATATGCTGTATAATTTCTAGATCATGAAAACATATGTTTACCATTCAACTCTTGTCTTGCTCTCCACCATTTTGAAAAGGTTAAAGGTTGTCTCATCTCGGCAACTCGTGCGTCAAAATATTCCACGAGTTGGAAAATACCACATGAGGGGGTGTTCGTGTGCATTTTCCACGTCGGCTTTTGGTAATTACAATAATTACCATAGCACGTGAATACACCATAAGCAGACCATAAAGTCTTTGTACCTCATTGTTCGTCCAGCCAAAACTGTCCGTTAGGTCTGTCGTGGAGGCTGTTAGCTCATCCACCAGCAACAGATGAGAAAACAATCTCTGTAGCTCCAGAGGAATCACACGGACCTGAGAACACACAGAACAGGAAACATCTATCCATCTGATCCTCTGAAACACATACAGTATAAAGCTTCCATTCATCTCCCTCACACACGTTTATACACACCTTTGCCTCCGGTTTGGCCTTGTCAGCCAGACATCCTAATTCATCCGGTCCAAGATGAAACAGTTCCTCTGTGAGAGATCATTTTAATTTAGAACACATCATAAACAAATAATCATCCTAAAATACTGTCATTCTCGTGCTGTTCTAAACCCAAATGGATTTTGTTTTTACAAAGAACACAAAAGCAGATTTTTTTTCTTTTTAATAATATCCTGCCCACACAGATTTTCTTTTTCTTTTTAAGAGTATGTTGCCCACTATATCTATGAAAAGTGAACTTGGTTGTTCACGATGAAGGACTTGGTTGTTAAGCTTCAAGAGGTAAAATCAAGAGGTAAAAACGATATAAATACTGTTCGTTTACACACAAACTGCTCGTTTCATGTCTTAGGCCATCAATTTGTACTTACATTTACGAGTCATTAAATCATTAAATCTTTGGAATTGGTATTTTTATAAATATTAATGTATTTTCCAACCTTCCATCTTACCCCTAAACTCTGGTGTGAAGAGTAGAGTCTGTATCAGAGAGTTGAGGTAACAGGTGCCACCCTGATTCTTGATCCCGCAGAGCTTGACTTTCCCTCTGGGTGGAGGAGGCTCAGACTCCCTCCCCTTCACACCTGTGCCAGGTGTAGACATATAGCCATCCCCGTCCTCCTCAAATAGATCTCCAAACATAACCGCAGCTGCTCTGTGAAGCTTAGTATCGGTGAACCTCTTGCTCTTTAAAGAACCGAGTTTCGATTACTGCGAATAGAAAGTGTTTCACCTATTGCTATCTCATCTTGGTCTTCCCTAGCTCTCGGTTAACGATCAATGGGCTCACCCTGGAATAAGATGACTTCACAGGACTAAACATAGCTTTTATAAACCAACCGAGAAACTAAATGCTCGTTTTGTCTTTGGGATGAATCACAGGTGTCGTGAGTAAATCTCAGCCCGTAAAACGAAAAATGGATATCTGAGAGGTGACTGCACTGCTTCCATATTTCACCAATGAGATTTAAAAGAACAATTATTTCTCGTTGACAGCCTTCGTATTTACGCATTAACTAAATAATATTTTAAACGCGACCTTTTCGTTCGAATTGAAACGTTTCTTAGTAGTAATAATGGTAAAAAAATGAAATCTGAGTAGAAGACATTTATGTTTCTAGGGCGCAGCCATGTTTGCTTGATGATACGTCTAGCCGCTTTGCATTGTGGTACTTGTAGTTCTTCACGGTAACGGCCTTCTTTTGTGCAAGTAATCTTGTTTGACTTTGAACTACATCCGGCTTTTCCTTGGCTTGACGGGTTCTGTAGTTTTATAGGCCTATAATCTAAAAATATGTCGTTATCAATGACCAAACAACCATAATCTATGTTCAAGTTAAAGATTTGTTCATACGAGTAAGTGAGTAGCCTATATTAATCATTTTCTTTTTTTCCTTTTTTTTTTTGATGGGGAGGGTGGGGTGCATTTTGTTTCAATGTGTTTTGAAATGCTCTTTTTCAATGTATATGTGTAATATGTATAATATAATACATTTCAATGTATAATAATCCCAAATACTTGTGCTTATTTGTAAACATCATGTAGCAAGTCATGAAACTTAAGTTGTGATCGTATTTTTCCCCCCTTTTATGACATATCCAAGTGAAATGGCTTCAGGAACCTATGAATTCTATGAGCAATGCAGTTATCTATAGACTTGGTTGTTAAATAAAAAGCCCAATGTATACACATATTTATAACTTAAAAACATGAGCATACAGTTTATTGAAAAAAGAAAAATCAATTAATTGTAGTGCAAAGAACAAGAGGTAAAATCCAAATATTATACATATAAATAACATTATTTATTACACTATTTTACATTATTGATATGATCTTTAAAACATGACACTTTCCACAAATGAGCTATTCATGGAAAGTACTGTGTATTGTAAATAGAAGTTACACAGTCTAAATGTTCTGCTCCCTCATTACACTTTGATTTGAGGGATGTTCAATGTGCACAAATGTTCATTTCTTGAAATAGAATAGTCTTTGCTGAACCAAAATATAATTTTAAACTGCATGATTTTAGAACACAAATGAGATTCACCACTGAGTTTTTTTCTCGCATCTTGACAGTTTTTTTATGTAGATGAGGTAGCCTAGTTTTCAGGAAGTATCAAACTCCAGATTCCACCTCCTGCCAGATGATTGACTTTTCTGACATTAAAAAGTTTCCCATGAAAGTGTCATAGAAAAATATGAAATCCTATCAAAATATGAAAAAGCTGAACAACCATTTGTGCCCTCAGTGAATCCTCAGCTTGAAGACTTTGGAAAGAGGTGTTTTGGCACTGGAGTACATCAGGTATGAACCCTCTGTTGACGTAAAGAACTCCCAGTCACTGCACCCTATAGTAGGTAACCGATGGACAGGGACAAAACCTTCATATCCCTGCCATCTGTCAGTAAAAAAAAAATCAATAAAAGTCAAAAATCTTCATTTATTGCAATAGTCTTTATACACTGTTAAAAATAACTGTTTTGTTTTGCAGCAATGCCACCAAAAAAACTTTTTTGTTTCCCAACAAATGAACAAATATTTTTTCAAGTCATTTGGTTCATTCAACGAACGAAACGAACAAATTGACTTGGAAAAAGATTCGTTCATTTTGATGAACGAGTTTGAACAGGAGAGTCACGAACGCGCATCGCAGAACAGAGCAAGGCGATCATTTGAGCTTATAAAACTTAAACTGTTTTTTTTTTTTTTTTTTAAATGAGCTATCGTTTCGCATGATAAGGAATCGTTTAAAGAATCGTTTAAAGCCCTTTGAACAGTTTGCAGTTTGTACTGAAAGTGTCTTTTGGACCTTGAACCTTGATTTGGTTACCAATAAACTACATTATATGGAGAAAAATCCTGGAATGTTTTCATCAAAAACCTTAAATTCTTTTCGACTGAAGAAAGAATGACATGAACATCTTGGATGACATGGGGGTGAGTAAATTATCAGCAAAGGTTTTTTGAAAAGTCAACTACTCCTTTAAGATTTTTTTTTTTTGCCTTTAATTCATAAAGAAGGTATAAAGAACCTTTTGTGGAATGGATGTTTAATGGATAGTTTACCCAGAAATGAAAACATCATCAATAACTCACCCCCTCATGTTGTTCCAAACCCGTAAGACTTTCCGTAAGATCTTCGGAACACAAATTAAGTTATTTTTGATGAAATCTGAGAGATTTCTGTCCCTCCATTGACAGCTACGCAACTACCATATTGACGCTTCAAAAGGTTAATAAATAGATCAAGAAGATTAATACATTTTCTGAGGAGACACGATCACTTTATATAATAAACAGATTGAATTTAGGACTTTTATTCACATTTACGCTCTCTTTATTAAATTTTTGAAGCATCAAATTGGTACAGTAGTTGCGTAGCTGTCAACGAAGGGACAGAAATCTCTTAGATTTCATCAAAAAACCTTAATTTGTGTTCCGAAGATGAACGAAAGTCTTATGGGTTTGGAACGATCTAAGGGTGAGAAAATGATGATAGAATTTTCATTTGTGGGTTAACTTTCCCTTTAAAGGTTCCATGAAACCATACATGTCAATAAAGAACCTTTTATTTTTAAGATTAATCCTTAATCACTTAATCCTAAGGGAAATTTGAAGGCTTACTTGGGATATTTAACATGGTACTAGTTTCTCTAAACAGCAGCACAACCACCCAGATGGCGAAGTACTGCAGTATGCATAAATTGATCTTATGATATGTGTATGATGTTTGAAATAATTACCTGTATATAACACTGTTCAAAGAGTAAGACGATCCATCATAAGAGTTTGCTACAACTAAAAAGTGCTCATCTCCAAGCGAAAAGAATTCCCAGTCCACCGCACTGCCATACAAGAGGAAATAAAGTCAAAAGATGTGAATTATGATTGACTCTCAACCCCCCTCAAAATCTTTTATAGTTCAGGCTTTACCTGTATGTTACAATGTCTTGGAACTTGAGGAACATCTTGGTTGTTATATCAAGTTCATATATAGTTGAGTTGATGGTATAGAGGCTTGGTCCTCTCTCACACAGCATGTGTCCATTAGCAACAGCGAGGAAGACTCTGTTTCCAATCTGAAACATTTCCCAGTCTGTAGCCCCAAATGTCTAGAGAAATTAAAGATATAGAGTATGTTGATTGGCCTTGGTAGTAATAATAATAAGGGTAACACTTTAATGAGGTCCCACCAGGGTACGTACTGTACATGTTTTGCCATTGTGTTTTTCGGTTATCAATCTGTTCACACAGATCCACGAAAATGGTTAAAAGCACTGTATTATGCTGCCAGGCCAGTAGTTGGCGATGTCACTTTGCAAAGAAAAACTACGCGCCTATAGATTGAACACATAATACGCATGCACATGATATCACTGTTTTCAAAAATGTGTGCTTTTGTAGTTTACACGAAGACAATAACAGTATCGTTTTCAAAAACGTGCACTTTGAAACCAGTTTTCAAAAGTTTTTGTTTTCAGGCCCCCAAAACACTGTATAGTGCAGCATATTTCAAGAGAATCATTCAAATTGGTATGAAATTTGGCACAGATACTCTCCAAGTGTCATTTTTTGAGAAAAAAATGCGTTGGCCACCCAAAAATTCAACATGGCTGCCATTTTTTCAAGATGGCCGCTATTTCTGTCAAATGCTCGTTATGTCAATCGTTCAAACAGTGATGTAGGCATAACATTTGGTGAAAATACTCTCTTCAGAATGTTTTTTCTCTTCAGTGCTTGTCCCTCAAATTCAAGATGGCAACCATTTTTCAAGATGGCCACCATTTTTCTTGAATCCTTACATATTTTTTTTCAAATGGTGATGCTTTTATGAAATTTGGTACAAATATTCCTCAAGGAACATTATCATGGAAAAAAGGTGTGTGCCTCTCAAAAATTCAAGTTGGCGACCATTTTCAAGATGGGCATAGAATGTACATTTCGAGAAGAAATTATGAGCGGGTGCTTACAGTGGCAAAACTCGCCACTCGGTTGCTATGGTATTCTGGGTGGTTGCTATGGTGTTACTAGGTGGTTAGTAGTTGTCACAGATAGTCACTATTGGAGTTTTTAGCATTTTCTTGGCATTATTTAGCACTTACCTAATCGCTATTAGCATGTAGCTATTCACAGCTAGCATATGTAGCATGTTGGAACTCCTGTTTGCTAACATGAGTCAAAAGAGCCAACCCCCATCTCTATACGATGTTCTGATGCAGAGATATAGGTCTAGCAAATGGTAGCTAGCATGATATCAGACACTTTGTCCATATTTTTTACAGTCTACGCTCTTACCCCATAGTGAGGTATGTTCTCACAGAGCCTGTCAGGCTCTTTAAATGTGGTAAATCACAGGTTTCTGAGAAATTCTCTATGAATCGTCAAAGTTTGTCGCAATGTTAAGTCTATGGGATTTTTCAGCCTCTTTTTAGCCCCGGGGGTGAACACCGTACCCCCGATTGCTTATAAAAGTCATAACACACCATTCCCAAAAAATCTGCACAATTTGATGCCTCATTCATGGGTCTTTTTTAACACAGTCTCATCCCAAAAAGTCATATAACTGACGTCTTGGGGCGTATTTTGACCATACGATACGTCAATATCCGCCTTTTTAGGGCCCCCTTAAACGTCGGTAGATGGCGATCCCGGGCCGTCATACAACTGACGCTTTACCTTTAACGTCAGTTAGGTGACGGGTTAGGTTTAGGGTTAGGTTTAGGTCTGGGGTAGAGTTAGGATCCCATAACCTCATCTACCGACGTTTAAGGGGGCCCTAAAAAGGCGAATATTGACGTATGGTCAAAAGACGTCCCAAAACGTCAGTTATATGACGTCTTGGGATGAGACCGGGTTGTCTTTTTAGCTCTCAATCTGTATCTAAAACAAACTTTTGATTTAAACAATGTATTAGTGAATTTTGAATGATAACTTCACGAGATCCATATCACGTTTATGACTTTGATTTTGTTATGGTAAGATCTCAAGAATTTAATTATAGTGTAACATCATCTAAACGCTTGATATTAACAAAAAACTCTTCTTGTTCTTTATTCCCCCGTAAAACACATCTGCACACAGGGAAATTCCCATCTCAAACGGCTGACAACATCACAAGCGGTGAGTCTGCCTCGTTAAGTCTGTTGACATGTACAATGGATCAGTGATTTAGAGCGAACAGTGATTGAAAATGTTTAACACTTTTTATAGTTTCGTATGAAAGCAGCCATTACTTTTTCATCTGACTTCCGATTGCAAATTTTTGGTCTTATTTTATTTTATTTTTTTTGTAAAGGGTGTTTTCCGAGACGCTATTTTTCATAGAAAGAAAGTGGATGGTGATTTATACAGTATTATCAAGCTCCAATTGGACTACTTTTATTCATTTTTAAGCCATTCACTTCCGTTGTATGGAAAAACAGTGGCTCCAACATTGTGTCTAAGCTCTTCTGTTGGGTTTCATGGAAGAAAGAAAATAATATGGGACTATTATATATAATAATGACCCGAGACTGCGTAAATTACAAAATTGTTGGGTCAGCTGTTCCTTTAAGTGATATTTATCAGAAATCACCTCACCAATCCCAATACCCAAACAGACTTTGTATATCTCATGTTTGCAAGACGCACGTATGTCTTTTTCCTAATCATTTAGTAAAATAAAGTGCAGTGATGAATGAAAGTTGGTGACAACAAGATTTCAAGCAGTAAATCTCTTCGAGGTCTTTTACGGCGGTTAAAGCTTTAGTTCCCCCTATACTTAAACAACCCCAGCGATACCACAGATGCCCCGAGGACATTCAGCAAGAACAGGTGTCAGGTAAATGTAAAATAACATGCTGCAGCTGGGAAACACCTACATGATTCCTTCATTCAACTTTTTTTCATTTGTGTCATGATTTTCCACTTCATTTACCCATCCTATTTTTCTTAATGTGTAACTCAGGATACAACTACCTCATTCACATCAGTGTTTACACTTCAGTTTCAAAATGATCCAATTGATTTGATCTAAGCCATCAGCGAGTGTCAGGGCCTTACGTCCATCACAGACATTTTGAAATGATGCTATATGCTTCCTAAACTCACCCTTATAGTCTGAAAGAGCTGAAAGGCTCCACCAAGCCAGATATAGATTGATGAATCTGTTTGGGTGGAGATGCCATCAAATGCATTGGCCACTGCTAGGAAGTGGTAGGGCCCTACGGTGAAAAACTCCCAGTCATATGCTCCTGATGTCGAGATGGTCTGGTTCACCTCAAACGTCTTGGTGCCTGGGTTCCACTTATAAACGACACTGTTAATGTTGTGATTCCCGTTATCTAATAGGGATGACAGGTACATAATATAGGGGGTTAAGATAAAAGATAAAACTATAGAGTGCCGAAGTGATGACGTCACTTTGTAGGACAACTCGGAAGCTAGCGGCGCATGGGTTCCCTCGGTCGACTTTTGGAAAATCGCAAAAAATAAGATCTGTGTTTAGCAAAGAGGTGTGACCCTTACACGTTTTGTCTATCAAGATAATCTTTACAAGTTAATCCAAAATGTGTACATTTTGTAGCCTATATAAAGATTTTAAAAAACCCAATCAGACACAATAAAGTTTAAAAAACCACAAGGTTATAACTGTATGTTCTGTGTCATAGATCAAAACGTGAAAATATTTAGAGGCTTTGTTCACCACAGACCTTATTTCAGGCAATTTAGCAAAAACCCATTCAAAAATCCCATAGGCTTTAGAGCGAGGGAACCGGTAGTGCTAAAATGCTAACTCACTTCCGCGTTTTAGCCTACAGAGTGACGACATAACTTCGGCACTCTATTACAGCAGTAACTGTAAAAAAAATGAAATGCTGAAACCATTTACTGATCTGAATGGCATGATGGTGGGCATTCATTTTCATTTGTGGGTTAATTTTTCAGGTGAATTTAGCAGTATTTTCAGACAAAAGTTTGGATTAACTATGTTTTTGAAAGCAGTTTCTTGTCTGCATTTATTTGATTAAAAAACAGTAATATTGTGAAACATTATTACAATTTAAAATAACGGTTTTCTATTTTGATATATTTTATAATGTACTTTATTCCAGTCAATGTAACGCTGAAATTTAAGCACCATTACTTCAGTGTCACATTATCCTTTAGAAATCATTCTAATATGCTGATTTGCTGCTCAAGAAACATCTCTTATTATTGTTGAAAACAGTTGCGTGCAGCATATTTTTGGTGGAAACTGTGATACGCTGTAATTCAAAACTTTGATGTAAGAATGATTACAAAAAAGAAATACTTTTATTCAGTAAGGATGCAAAAATTGATTGAAAATAGATTTACATGCATGTTATACAGTATCTAATGTTGTTGCTATTTATTTTATTGTATTACACAAATCTGCCTTCTTATGGTACGGTCCTGTTTTATATAAAAATCAGAATTTTCTTCTTTTTTTTTTTTATTATTATTTTTTGGGCGGGGTTGATGTTTTGTTATATTTGTATTATATGAAAATTCAATAAAATAAATTTAAAAAAAAAAGAAAATAGATTTACAATGTTTAAAAAAGATCAAATAAATGTAAAAAAAAAATATGTATCACGGTTTTCACATTATATTAATTTTGATAATGAGCACCAATAATTTGCATCAAATATTAGAATGATTTCTGAAGGATCACATCATTAATCATTAATAATAATCATTAAATAATATTACAGTATTTTGGGTCATATAAAAGCCTTGGTCAGTATGAGAGACTCCAAACTTTTGACCGGTGATGTATGTACAAGTCTATTGATGATAATAATCTCTTGATTCAGCCCCACCACACCATTATAAGACCAACCTGTTCGATGATTGGCCACAGCCAAAAAAGCTTCATTATTAATATGAAAGGCTTCCCAGTCACGAGCGCTGTGCGTCTCCAGGGTCTGATATCTCAAAAACTTCAGCCTCTTATTACTCCATCTATAGATCACAGACAGCTCTTGCTTTCCGTCCGCTGGGCCCATGGAGTTCGACACCGCCAAGAACATCTGGCACACATACAACACACACAGTGATAAATGAGCTTGAAATAGACAAACAGAGATAAAGTTACACTGATCAGCCAGTCTGTCATTTGGCTATCACGATTCCAGCTCGCTAAATTTAGAACAGTGTGAAGATCAGGTGGTAGATATATACTGTATCATATAGCTTATGAGTCATAATTTCACTCAGGCGAAGAGTTTAGTGATTTAACTGATACAAATACAGGCTCCATGATTTACAGCAATGATAATGATAGTTGTAAGGAGCAGCAGGTTTCAACAAAGAACTTTTATGACTTCCTATTCTTTATAATTCAAGATCTGTGTGATATAATGAAGACTAAACAACTACACTGCAGACAGACAGATGTGTATAAATGATTCACTCAGGGAAGGGAAAGATCATCAGACAAAATTAATTTCTGTGATTGACTACACTAGTGATTTAAAGTTATTGCGTGTGTTTGGACTGATGTAAGGAACACCACATCAAAACACATCTGTCTCCTGAAGTGCAGTGTAAAGTCTGTTCTCTGTGGAGTGAGTGGAAAACATGCAAATCACACTTATCATACTGAACCCAGTCTACTGTATCTCTGAATGAAGCGTCTCACCTCTCACCTGCCCCCTTTAACATTTCACCTCAGGCTTTTTCTGCCAGTAATTCTTACCTAATGAAGTGTCAATCACTGCTCTCTACAGCTGCACTGTACAACCTTTGCCTGTTCATATGTACAGAAAAGGAATTGTAATGAAAATATGAATTGTCAATTTTGATTTCATGGTGACTTTCAGATGTGTAAGCTTAATATTCAAATGAATTCGATTAGATTTTAAAATCAAAGTGTCTATTTTTAAAATAGACTATTATAGTATGTTTTTTTAAATAAAAGTACTCTCCTTGACACAGTGATACAATTTCCTGTTTTGTTGTACTACGTGTTGGTTAAACGTTACTGTATTTTTGTTTGGTTGACCAAGGTTTTCCAAATATTCATATTAAATGATTTATCAGTGCACATCATTATTATTTTTTTAATTTATGTGTACTCGAAATCTTTAATCAAAACTAAATATTTTCCAAATACTAACTCGTGTCACTAACTAATCAATTCGTGAAGGACAAAATCAAGTCCCGCTCAACATTTTTTCATTTGTATATACGTCACAATAGAGTCCCGAAGTGATGACGTCACTTTGTAGGCCAAACGCGGAAGTGAGTTAGAATTTTAGCACTTCCAGTTCCCTCGCCCTAAAGTCTATGTTTTTTTTTTGTTTTTGTTTTTTGCTAAATCGCCTGAAATAATGTCTGTGGTTAACAAAGCCTCTACAGTAGGCTTTGTTAAACACAGGTAATGCAAGTTACATAAGCTTATGTAACTTGCAAACAAGTAATGCAAGTTACATAAGCAGATGACTTTTTCAAGTAACTAGTAAAGTAAAGCATTACTTTCAAATTGCTAAGTTACTTTTTCAAATATGTTACGCAAGTTACTTTGTTTTCCCATTTAGTGACTGAAAGCTCACCTGTCTCCATATTGAGAGAAATCGTACGTACAGAGGCGTACATGATGCTTATTGTTTTTCTAGACTTGAAGCAGGCATTTAATCATCTCACTTGCACAAAAACAGATTCAGTATTACTCAAAATGAATACAGTAAAAAAATTGCTAACTCAGAATATAACACAAACAAGCAATAATGAAATGTGTTAAATACAAATTATGTATTTTATCTCACTTTATTAACCAATGTCTTTGTTGCTGACCTTCGATGATCCGAATCAACCATACCAATAGAGTGCTGAAGTTATCACGTCACTCTGTAGGCCAAAACGAGGAAGTGAGTTAGCATTTTAGCACTCACGGTTCCCTTGCTCTAAAGTCTATGGGATTTTTGAATGGGTTTTTGCTAGGTGTATGGTGAACAAAGCCTCTATATATTTTCACGTTTTGACCTTTTTTTTTTTTTTACTTTATATAGGCTTCAAAATGTATACATTTTGAATTAACTTAGATAGACAAAACGTGTAAGGGTCACAACTCTTTGTTGAACACAGATCTTATTTTTTGCGATTTTCCAAAAGTCTATGGGGAAAATGCATAGCTTTTAGATCGAGGGAACCCATGCGCCGCTAACTTCCTACAAAGTGACGTCATCACTTCGGCACTCATCCTATTCTTCTGCGATCCAGAATGGCAGCACAGCTGAGAGGTTTGTCTGAGCTGCGCCCTCTACTGTACAGGCATGAATTTGTATTTACTTCAGTCTGAGGCTTGTTTATTTAACGTTTGGTGTGAAAGTGCCTTTTACGTTTACCAAAAAAAGAACTTTTATTTGTTATTAAAAATCAAACAAGCAAACCCAGCCCAAGTGAGGAAAAAAGTAATGTTACCTATCACTTTAACACAATTAGTTACATTTTAGGGAGTAAAGTAATATTGCAATGCATTCGTTTTAATGCATTTACTTTCCCCAACAATGATTATTATCTTTTCTCACCTTCCTCCCTATCGTGAATTGCTTCCATGCCTGGGCCTTGAAGGTGCTGATGTTCTGGTAGAGCTGGAAGTGGCCATGCGTCCAGCGGTAGATGGCAGAGCCTGGTTTGGTGGCCCGATGGGCCATAGCAGCAAACATCCCAACAGAGGGAATCTGGAAAAGCTCGATGTCCTGTGTCTCTGAGGTGGTGTAGAGGTCCTGGTGATCATCTACATAGTCTAGTCTGTCTTTATCTGTAAGTTGAACAGTGATAAAAACAAAAAGAACTGTTCCAGGGTTTTGGTCATGGTGATCATGATGTACCATGGTATTACCTTCTGATGCCATCTCTAATGCAACAGTACTTTTTCATAAAGAAACTGATTGATTTATTGGTATGAATAATACTAGGTTCTGGAATTTATATAAATATTTTGGTAAACTGTGGCTGCTTGATTATTGAATACACAAAAAATAAACTAATGCACAGCTCTATATATACTGTATAAAGTGGATGTATATTATATTAACTTTATTCACATACATACAGCACAAATATACTATGTAGCAAATCTCCATTTTAGCTAAATGTAAACTATATTATCGGTCGGCTCTTATGTTAGTATGTCCAACTTCGTTCAAATGCATACCGTATATCATGTAGGGTGATACTTTTAGCATATCTCAATGGCTTGTATCATCACAAAATGTAAACTATATTATCGCCCAACTTTAATCTACTATAAGGCATTAAGATATTATAAACATTTACATTACAAGGTTGTTTAGTATTAACAGTGTTTATTGTGAAAAGTGAGATATAAATAAATTTGACTTGACTTGTTAGGTCATAATCTTAAAGTTAAAATAAAAATCAGTCTTCAGTCTTCCTACCTTGCAGCATAGAGTGCCAGTATGCACCATCACATAGGAAGAGGCCCCTTTTAAGAGTGTCAAACCAGAGTTGTCCCTGCTCTGCCGCAGTGCATGCTGGTTTAGACCCCAGAGTCACACGGACCTCCGTCTCTGTACATTGACGTGAGAATGCAAAAGTTCAAGTGCACATATTGTACAAATATAGTCATATTTATTTTTGAATTACATTAAAGACGAAATCTGTGATAACAGGATTTGTACAATACATACGTTTTTGATGTGTTAATGAAATTGAATGACTTGTAATGGATCTACTTTGTCAAAAGAATATGGATATAAAACAATAAACAAAATCTCTGCTATGTCATCATCACGGATGTAAAGTGCAAAGCAATATGTCTCAGACTGTGAGGTTGTAAAAGTATTAACCAAGGTGTGTATTCTAGATCAAAGTTGCCATTAGCTAATGCTAATTTAAATCTTCAATACAAATTATATAAACACAGTGTTGTTTGTCATGCCCGAGATGTGTGCCAGCGTAAACCCCCTCACCACCAGCACACACTCAATCACTGACAGCTCTCACTGCGAGCGGCATAACCTCTGTTTTCCTTTTCAGAGCGAAACAAGTGTCAGATGTTTAGTTTGGGATGATAACTCAATCTGACCATGTCTTTAGTGCCATAGATCTGTTCTTTTCCTCAAAATGTTGTACATGGCTCCAGTCATGATAAAATAATTGTTTTGTAATGGTTCATTGTAACTCTGTGTTAACATTGGCTATATTGATATGATGTTTAACCAGCCTATTTTCCATTAAGCATCTCAGTTTTAACTCTTATCATGCCCTTAATCATATATATACATATTTATTTTTTCCGTGCAACACATATACACTTTTTTAGGGCTGTCAAACGATTAATCACGATTAATCACGATTAATCACATCCAAAATAAAAGTTTGTGTTTACATAATATATGTGGGTGCACTATGTATAATTATTATATATATAGACCATTTCACAAGATGTAAACAACACTGGTCCAGAAGCACTTCCTGTTTCAGATTTTTAACACTACATAAAAGCTGGGATAAAATACAACCAACAGAACATTTAAAACTGAATCAAAAAGTTAAACAAACATCTTTAAGATGTTTTCTTTACATGTGAAATAAAGAAAACAGTTACAAACTGAAACAGGAAGTGCTTCTGGACCAGTGTTGTTTACATCTTGTGAAATGGTCTATATATAAATACACACACATGTTTGTATATATTTAAGAAATATTTTCATGTATATAGATTTATATATAATTTATACTATATATAAATATTTTATATATAAAAAATTATTTTTTTCTTAAATATCCATGCATGTGTGTGTATTTATATATATACAAAATAATTATACACAGTGCACCCATATATATTATGTAAACAAAAACTTTTATTTTGGATGCGATTAATTGTGATTAATCGTTTGACAGCCCTACTTTTTTTATACAATATATTAGACATTCTTTCCAAAAACATTTAATAAAAACTAGGAACTGGGGATGTCAAGCTTCAAAAAAGTAGTTAAAGGATTAGTTCACTTCAAAATGAAAATTATGTCATCATTTATTTACCCTAAAGTTGTTTCAAAACTGTATGAATGCTGCTGAACACAAAAGAAGATATTTTGAAGAATGTCAGTTGCCAGTTGATGGACCCCATTGATTTTCACAGTAGGGAAAAATATACTATGGATGACAATGGGGTCCATCAACTGTTTGGTTACCAACATTCTTCAAAATATCTTCTTTTGTGTTCAGCAGAAGAAATTCAAACCGGTTTGGAACAACTTGAGGGTAAATAAATGAATAAATGAACTATTCCTTTAAGATAAGTCACTCTTTAGTGAGAGCGACCATTACGATTGTATAAAATGGTCAAATTTGCGCTTTTTGCAGTCATATGGATTTGGGATTTAGAAAAAAAAATATTCCTTTTAATTCAACCTTAAAATCATTTGAATTTAAACATTTAGTTTTACCATATGGAGGGAGCAGGACATCATTCATGTGGTATTTCACTGGCAAGTTTGACAGAATCGTAGGGACAGAAAGCTCAACCAGTGACGGTTTGGAGGAGGGGCAAACACGTGACGTCGCATCCGATCCAGGTAAAAGGACGAGCTGGCGCAGTAATCCCTTAAGAAAGAAGACGGATCATCCTCTGGCCAACAGGTATGTTTTTTGTATGCTAATACACATTTTAAGCAATGTAATTAGCAATATAAGAATACAAAGCTCACAGAGAACAGGCCTTTCAACTTCCTTCGACTTCCAATGTGGAACCTGGAGCCATCGGTGCTGAGATCAGAGGGAAATGGCTGTTTATGGACCCTGGAACCCATCAGTGGAAGGACATTACTCACGGGACTCAACTTTGAACTGCAAATGTATGTTTTGTTTCTGAATCTCTTCTATTTTACGGTTAGAAAAACCCCACCCCTAGAAATAACAAATGTCAGGCGCTTTAATGTTCTAAATGCCACCCAATTTGCAGCTAATTGCTCAAGAATTCCTTGCACTAATATGTGCACATTTTTATAAATTGTCAATTTTGTTATTTTGAGGTCACCTAAATGCTTCAATCTTGTAGTGAATACCTAAAAGGTTATAGGGTCTTTCTACTGCCGTTACAGACTCACAGTTCCAGTGGGATGCCGCAGTCTAGGGTGAGGGTGGCATGGTGGCCACTGATAGCTAATACCATGCTGTGCCAGTGGTTGTCCGCCAGGCGTATTCTTTTAAAGCTGAGACGCTCCAGCCCCATTGAGCCCCGATAGATGAGATGGACTTTGTCTTTAGAGAAACGCAGGCCGAGCAGGAGTTGATCGACATCTTCCTTCACCACAGCAAGCAAGTATTCATTCTTCTGAAAGACAGAGTGAGTCCAGAGATAAAGTATGGACAGTCAGGTTTGTCATTCATTTGGGTCAATTTCATATCATAACCATTACTTAACCTCTTTCTGACCCTTGTAGGCCAAAACCAAGAAACAAGCATTTTAGCCAATTGGTTTTTTGGCTGAAATACGATCTGTGGTTGATTCAAGTTAAGATATTTTCACTTAAATTTCACTTGCTATAACTTGCTGAAAAGTGGCTAAGGGTACGTTTATACAACAATGATATACTAAAAAAACATGAAAAGTTTTTCCTTTTTGTTTTTCTTGTACAGACGACAATGTTATCAAAATGAACCCATTTCACGCAGATCAGTGCAAACGATTAAAAACGCTGTATTATGCTCCAGGCCAGTAGTTGGCGATGTCACTTTGTAAAGTAACACTATCCGCCTATAGACTATGCATAATATGCATGTGCATAATGTCACCGCTTTCACAAATTCACATTTTAGTAGTTTACACAGAGACAATAATGGTATTGTTTTCAAAAACTTGCACTTTGAACGCCATTTCACGTCTCCAATACGATGTCGTCATGTATATGAATGGTCAAAACACATAAAAAAAATGTTTCGGCTTAGTTGAAAACAGTTTCATGTAAACGGCACATCAATGGGACTAGAGGTTGTTGGGGACATTAAACATAATCACGGTGAACAGGAAAACTCACCTACTCACTAGTCCACTTTTACTATTGTGTTTATAAGTGCTATATCTATAAAAATGAAAATAAAACTAACTCAAACTATCATATATGTTTTTTAAATAAAGGCTGAAAATAGTTGTCGGAAGCTTAATGGTGGTGACATTGAAGTCATGCAACCGTACGGTTAGCTTTTTACTTCTGGCTAATGTAAGTAGACTTCAAAATTTGGCTTAATTTGTGAAGATTATCATGATGAACAAACTTGTAAGAATCATAACTTTTTCTGTCACAGAGCAATCATTTCTGCAATAATCCAAAAGCCAGTGGAAAAATCCTACTGTTTTTTTTGTAGAGGGAACCAGAGTGATGCTAACTTCGGGGTTGGCCACTGAAACAATCTATAATGTGTCAAAAAATTGATTCCTAGTGAAATAACCCCAATATAATACCACAGAGTTTAACCCTGCTCGAACTAAAAATGCTATTCTCAAAGAAGAAATTAGCAATTTCTGAGACTTTCTATAATAATTAAGCTTGACATGGACATCTCTGGACAGAAGCAGCTCTGGCATTAAAAGTCTATGTCAGGATAAGCTTACCTTCACTCTGGTTTGAGGCACTTTAAGAGTGGCCACTATGGAGAATTCTGCAGGGAAGTGAGCGCAGTTGATAAAGAGCTGAGAAGATGGAAAGGTGAGTTCCTGCGTAGGTTTGAAGAGCTGGACTCCACGAGCACCTCCCTCCTGCACCATACGGACCCCAGCCAGAGCCTCTCCGTTATGGGGCAGAACCCGAGACAGCAGGTCCACTGGATGGAGATCTGTAGCGGAAGAGGACAAAGATTAAAGACAGTTGAGGAAACAAGTAGAAACAAGTTTTGACTGATTATCATGATCTAGTTAGCCCCTGCTGGTTAATGCTGTAACCCCCTGGGAACATTCAATAGGCAACATTGAGAACATAAAGATGACCATTATGCCCTTTTACAAAGTCTTAAAGCTACACTGTGCAACTCTTTATAGTTTATTCTTAGCTAAAAACACTTAGTTCTTTCAACAATATGTGTGCTCATTAATGTATACTTCTTTCAAGTAATAAAGTATTCTCTTGAGTGTATAATATGCCATCGAAAATACATACGGGTAAGGGGTTCTAACATAGATATCTATATAAAGGCTAGATATCTCGTCCGCGCTGTTGGCCAATGGAGGTCGACGTCAGCACCTGGTGGCCATCTTGTCACAGGCAGCTCGCTCACTGGTAACATTATTTTAATGGTGCATGTACTTTTTAAATCACCATAACTTGCTCAATTTTCTACCGATTTTCAAACGGTCTGTTTAGTTATAAACGGCAGATATGTAGTTATGATACTGCGTACTTATGAATAATAAGTGTATAAATAATCATCCAAAATTATAGCCACATTAATAACGTTTGTAAGAAACCAAACCGTTTGTAAATCCGTCAAGATTTCAACGAGATAAGAGTATTTCTTACATCAGATACAGAGCCCGCCAAAGCCTGTCTGTGACAAGATGGCCGCCGGTGATGACGATATTCCACCGTGAGACTTCTAGCCTTATATCTATGCGTTCGACAGCCACAAAACAGTTAACTCTCTGCCTAGTACAGACCTAACGCATAAACGTTATGGGAAGTTCGCTAGTCAGACGGGATTTAAACTTTGTTGGAAGCCCTAGGTGAAGAGGAAAAGCGTTCCAAGCAAAATGTTCTCTCACCATTCCTGATTTCTAACATCCACTCACCGTGTTCGTCCTGGTCAGCGACTGTCAGAGCGTAAATAAAAGCTAAGTTCTCTGTATGTCGTCTCCCGGGGCATTCATATGCAAATTAAGCGTGCTGATTTTGTCCATTAGATCAAGAAATCTGGAGAAAAAAAAAATCCATACATTTACCCACCCATTTACCCCCCAGTCCCTGGGCTGAAAGTGGCAATAAAGATGGGTTAAAACACCAGGTGTCTCCCTCGTCTACTTGTGACCCGATTGACCAACCAGGTGTAAACAGGATCTTTGTGACTTTAAAACAAATAATATTTCGCTTAATATATTGCTATTTAATACAATGAAATCCAGGCTTGCTTGAGAATCTGAATACTTGGGAGGCCTATGCATTTTTGCATAGCGGATGAGAATAGCTCTTGATAGTTCATTAAAGTATGCAAATTGCCTTCCATGCAAAATATACAGAGGTAAGAGTGGCAGACATAATATTATACCAGCCCTCCCTGGTTCACACAGAACTCTGAACTTTGATTTACTGTCATTCATACATGGTTTCAAAACTTTTAAATATGGCTCAAGCAATGTTTTTATTAGCAGCCCAAGTCTATGACTTTATATGCCCTTTGCTTTCCTCAATAGTATACATAGTCTTAATCTGAATATGCAAAGTAACATGAGCAAATGCATTTTTATGACAGTATACATGAACTTGCAACTGATCCTCTTGGATACTGCATGCTTCTTACTCAATTTTCAAACTACACGTTTAGGAGGGCAGCCGATGCACAAAAATGATACGCTTCAAATGAGGATACACACTGATGACAAAGAGATGTTATAGATGTTCAGAGACAGAACTGCAATTCCCTAAACATTCCCAGCATTCTTCGGTTCATCCACATTATTGTGGTATTTACAGCTTCTATTGTAATAACAGACCTTTAGCTGAGCTCATTGCCCTAATTATGGACCATTTAGATGACATACAAAAGCAATATTTTAAAATACCACTTAAGGAATTAACTTTAGTAATCTTCTTGTAAAATCTTTTTTATATTAGTATTTTTCATTTTCTCATTTCTTTTGAGTTGGTATCTAATGTAATTGCCTCCGTGGTATGAAAATTGGGGAATTTAAGCCCGAGGGATGTCGCCGGGATTGGGAAGAGTTTCAATTTTTCCATTGTAAGACCAAGCTGGCAACAGTGTGTGGCAACATCCCCAGCCCAGTGAATGCATTTGTTACATCTTCACATTTGTTTCTTCTATGTGGTGGTCAGCATGACACATGACCATTGCTTTTTCAGTGTTCAGCAGTCTCATTTTTAAGTTTGTCAGTGAAAACATGCTTGAGATGCAAAATGAGACATTGCAATCTCACGTACATTTATTTTACGTTTTGGCGAATTGGTAACTAATTTGCACTCGCAGTCGTACATTGTTGAATGATCTGCTTTCATCCCAGTGGCAGTTATTTTTATGGGCAAGGTTCAAGGTTCGTTTCTTTATTGTCATTGTTATAAATAACAACGAAATAACATCAAAGAGTCCTACAGTATAAGTTCAGTAAAAAGTATACAAAAGTGCAATCCATTTGTTGACATGTGCATAATGCATAATGCATACCCCAGTTCCCAAGGTTATGGAGGACCTTTATTCTTACTTTTGTCTAAAAATCTTTTTTTTTCTTTCATTTTCCTGTGAGTTTGGGTTGGACTTGATGTGTGAGTTAAAATCAATCATTCCCATCATTGTTTTCACCACAAATGCTAATTACATGAATGGCATAGACACTTAAAAAATGGTAATAAGGACAGAATAGTTGATGCACATACACACACACACACACACACACACACACACATATAATACAAAAATGCCTATAGTAATACACAATTATCATTCAGAATCAGGATGTAAAGTCTCATTCGAAATCCGGACCTGATCTAATCTGAAGAATTTTATTGCAAATGAAATCACTTTTATCTTGATGCCTCCTGATAAACAGCTTGTAGCACAAGGACTCAATGAGTATTCTTAAAGACTAGTTCATGATAAATACACATTATTCAACTAGTGCGTTGAAAAAATGTACAGCATGAATCTCACCTGTACAGGGTTTCCATGGCACGACGGTCACACTTTCTGTCAGTGGTAGAAGCAGCAGACACCACTGCAGTGCAAGTAGCCATAATGAAGTCACCAAGTTGTGCTGTCCTTCCATTATATAGTTGATTTGCTGAAAAAAAAAACTTTAGATTGGCCAAAAAAAAAAAAAAAGTCCAAATAATAACTTCTGGATGGTCCAAAGTTATCCACTGGTCAAGATGCCTTTAGGTCCTGTATTCTTTGTCCCCTGAACTGTCCAGAATGGAGTCTGTCCATCATTGTATAGCTAATTTTGATTAAAGAATCAGCTCACCAATGAACATGAGCTACTTAATAAGCTAATAAAGTTGTTTTTAAAAAATTCACAATGTACGAAGAGCAAACACTGGGTACAACTTCCCGATACACACTAAATGAAAATAAATGTTCTTTCCAAGAAAGTCCTTCATCCACTTAAATGCTAATCATTAACAAGCAGTTTAAAAGAGTCAGAGCCTAAATGTTTCTGAAAGTTGTCATCAAAGTCCTGAAAATCCACAAGCTTGTGCCTTTCCCCTCTTGTTCCCCGTTGCTCAGGTGCGTAGAGGCGATCAGAAAGCAGCTACAGTAATTCACCTGTCACCTGCAGGGTCAGATGAGCATGTTAACAGATCAGAATTACAACTGAGAGCTCAGGGGCCAAAAGTGGTGTATTTAGAGAGACATTCAAATGAAACCAACATGAGAGGAGGGGCTCAGAAGGAGGTACAGAGGCTGAGAGAAAGGCAGACAGAAAGAGAGAGAGATTTCCTGCGGTCCTAATCTCAGCATTTCATTGCTTCATAACCCCCTCCTCCCCTCTCTCTCTCTCTCTCTTTCTGTTTTATTTTCTTCCTCTGGGTGGAGTCCCTCTTGGTGTCCTGATTAGGTTCAGTCTCACTTTGGTAATTTTGTTGTTTTTTGCTGTCCTTTACTGATCTGTAGTCAAAATTCTCCTTACCAACATGTATATGTGTACATTGAAAAAAGCATTTTAAAAAAGATAAATGATTTGAAATGCAAAGTTAAAAGTCTTAAAATCCCCCATCAATCATTTTATCACTTAAAGGGATACTCCACTTTTTTTGGAAATAGGCTCATTTTACCACTCCCCCAGAGGTAAACAGTTGAGTTTTACCGTTTTCGAATCCAATTTTCTGATTTAGAAGAATATCAGTAACCAGACAGTTTCTGGTCTCATTGACTTCCATGGTATATTTTTTTCCTACTATGGAAGTCAATGAGACCAGAAACTGTCTGGTTACTGATATTCTTCTAAATATCAGAAAATCGGCTGAATTGTTTCGAAAACGGTAAAACTCAACTGTTTAACTATGGGGGAGTTGTAAAATGAGCCTATTTCCAAAGAGGAAAGTATCCCTTTAAAACTCATCTTTGGTCACCAAAATGATGTTTAAACGTTTTTTTTTTTTTTTCATTGATTTTTTCATGCTTTAAAACAGCTGAATGTAACTCTAAACCCTTGCTTCATTTAGTATACTAAATATTGCTTCATGATTCTATGAATATGCAAATTAGCCCCGCCCCCACTCACTCACTCAGCTCTGAGATCCACTTGTAGACGATCACACGTTGATCTGATTGGTTACAAGGTAGTTTGTGATGTCCGAAACACTAGCGATTTTAAACCATGTTTTTGAGACTGTCTGGTTCAATGGTGTTGAATGACTTGCACATTACGGGTTTTACGGGTAAGACCACCCTATAATGTCGTTCCAAACCTGTAAGAGACCCGTAAACATAAAAAAAAGCAAAAACACACCTGATGCACATGCTTTAATTATCATTTTCCAGAAGAGTAAGGTTTTATTCTACCTTAATGCACCAGAGAAACGTGGGCGCCGTCATCTTTAGAATATTGTCTTTGAACTTCCGGTTCTGTATATTTCTATGGCATCACTGTCGAGGTAGCTGGTGAAGTGGATTTACTTATTGTAGAATTAACAAAAGTTATCATGCGCATTGTAATGTTTATCATAAACATTGTAAAGCAGATGTCTTAACAAATGTCGAATGGAATTTTTTTTTTATGAGCAGTTCAATCATACCTATGCAAGATCACTGTGGAAATACAGACCGGAAGTCAAAAGACAACGAGCGCAACGCTGAAAAGGGGCGTGGCTACATAAGGTCTATACTTCGAACATTTTAATTCTGAGTTTCCCTCTCATAATTATGATATTGTGATGGCATTCCACACATATGCATTCAACACATAAAGACGTTTCTGACATGACTTGAACCTACCATTAGACCATACAGCAGCAACAGAAACAGAAAATCAAAACGTTAAATAGCCTAGTTGCATTTTCTAATGAGAATTTGATTTTCTCATCCACTGTGAAGCAAGTCCAGATATTCCAGACCTCTGCTCAACAAGCTGTTACACACACCAGTGTTGTTTTCCCAGACATTTTTGTTTTGGATGATTGTCTTTTTCTCTCGGTTTCTCCCTCTTCTGGTACTTTTTGGGATGTACACACCACTAATGGCTAAATGGTGTGACTAATTAGTGAGTCAGATATTAGGTTACAGTCAACTGCAAGAGTTTCTTTAGCACACACATTCTACAAACCTACACACATGACTACATTCATCTTTTAGCAGTATAGATGGTATAGGATAAGATGTGCAGTAAATGCTAATAAAAATGCCTGTTTGCGGTCGGTTTTACCTGTAAATATGAGCGACTGTGGCAATGCTTGCCTTCGCAATCTATAACAAAGCACAACAGACCACTCAAGACAAACCGTACATGATCACGCACTAGAATAGCAGGTTTGCTAATAGTTGTTTTGTTTGGTTTGCTAATAGTTTGTGAGCTAATCAAAGCAACATCTGAGGCTAAAGACCAGCATGCAGTTCAACTGACCCCAATTCACCTTTGTCGCTTGAAGTCTTTTTCACATCAAAGTCAGCAGAAAAGAAGGAACATTAGAGAGGAGGAACACAGCAATTGAAATTCTTTTGTAAGTAGAACAACGGCCTTTGACAAACAGTTCATGTAATATGTAACGTCAGTGTAGGCCGATATTAAAGAGTTGTGCAACTAGTTCATGAACTCCTGAGAGAATCCTGCTTTCCTAACCTGCATAGGAGATAATGAAATTTTAATCCCATTAGGAAAGCGATCTATAACACCCCCTCTAATAACTCCAACCCCAATATTTGACAAAAAGTTTTAAAAGTAAAACGTTTTACTTTACATTTTTTATGACCAAATTGTCACACCCAATAATTGAATTAAAAATATAGGCTCTGTAATTCATGTAATTCATAAATGAATGTGAAGAGACAAGAGGTTCTGGGAATGTTAGTTTTTGGTTCCCAGAACGTTCCCTATTGGTTCACCAGGAAAGTTTTCTTAACGTAAATAGAACGTTCCCTTAAGGTTAGGGGAACATTCTGGGAAAAATAACCTAGAGGGAACGTTCCCAGAACGTTCTTCTTAGGTTATAAAATTAAACCTAAAAATAACCTACAGGGAACGTTCCCAGAATGTTCTTATTTGGTTCCCAAAAAAATAACCAAATAGGAACCACACGGGAACGTTAGGGGAACGTTAGATAATAACAGGATAATAGGCAAAAGAATAACAGGCATTTACACACCATTTTCAACTAAAAATGGAAAACTTTTTATGTATTTTGACTGTTCGTTTACACAACAACAGCATTTTGGGGCATGAAAATGCAAGCTTCTGAAAACTTTCATCTCCGTGTAAACTACAAAAACATGAATTTGTGACATCATGCGCATTATGTGTTCATAGTCAATAGGCGAAATAGTTTTTCTATACAAAGGAACATCGCCAACTACTGGCCTGGAAGCATAATACAGCGCTTTTGTAGTGTACATTGCCGCGAAAGACAAATGAAAAACGTTTCCATTTTTAGTACATAGTTGTTGTGCTTTGAATGGGTGCATATTTTAAAATAAAAATATTTGCAAAGACTTCAAACTGATTTACAAAAAAAATCAGTATTTCTTTCTCTTTTCCCCCTAAATCCATTCAAATCTTTTAATTTTATTTAATTCCTTTTAATAGAAAAAAAATTACCATGTGGGTATTTTATACCAAAAATGTTTAAGACATATTAACAGCCCTGGAAAGAATTAGTAGGTGAGTTCCTTTGAAGTGTAGGCTACATAAAACTTATTGTGAACCATACGCAGAATCAAATGACCAAAGCTCTGTTGGTTAATGCCGGTCAAGCATGACGTCAGTCTCAGGTTTGGGTGAACAACAAACTAGACCAGTGAACCTGTTTCAGATCAAATAGTTCAGGAGTGGTGTAACACATGATGGAGAGAGACAGGAGTGATAGAGAGAGGTGTGTGTCATGTTCTTCTTTGAAAGATGTTGTGGTCTTCCGTTTGACCCCGGGGCTGAGCTGTGCTTTGAATCAGCACTGTGTGTGAAGTATCAGACATGTTTAGACAGGGAAACTCATCAACTGCAGGGTTTCTGCTCCTATTGAGGAGATTGCAGAAGAGATGGACACAGTCTTGCTCTTTGAATTTGATAGATGTTGAACAAGTTTGATTATAAGTCTATTGGGGGGTTGCTGCAAAATAATAATAAGTGCAAATAGAAATGCAAGGAACATTTCTTATTATCAATGTTGAATACAGTTTTTCCTGATTGTATTTTTTTCGTGGAAGCCATTCACCACTCAAAAGTTTGGGATAATTAAGATAAAATAGAACTTATTACATATTTGTATTCATCAAGGACCCATTAAATTGATCAAAAGTGACAGTATATACATTTATAATGTTACAAAAGGTTTCTATTTTAAATAAATGCTGTTCTATTGAACTTTATTCATCAAAACTATTAATATTCAAATAGAACACAAGTTATTTAAAATTTAAATAACATTTCACAATATTGCTTTCACTTTATTTGACATAATTCAGTATATATACACTCTAAAGACTGCTGGGTTGTTTTAACCCAATTTTGGGTAAAATATGGACAAACCCAGCCATTGGGTTAAAAATGTAACCCAAAACAAAATTAAAAATGTAACCCAATGGCTGGATTTGTCCATATTTTACCCAAAATTTGGTTAAAACAACCCAGCAGTCTTTTTTATATACATTTATATATATATATATATATATATATATATATACATATACATTATGCTTGGTATTATTGTTCATTAAGAGAGAAAGACTGTGTGAGTCCATCAGTGGGAGGTGATCAGAGGCTGTTTTGTCAGCAATGACAGCAGTCATCATATTTGACATTCAATTACAGTAATGTGTGGGAGGCAATTGGTGTACAGAAGAACAGCTTCTGGCCTGCCAGTAAAGCCAACCTGCGGTCTAGTATGCAGATGGTGAAGCAGATACACACGGAAGCAACTGTCCAATAATGAGCCACATCAGCTGATATGCCATTAAAAATAACAAGAGTTAATCCAGTCTCTGATGTGGTCAGATTCTGCAAATCCTGACTGAGCTCTGCCAAACCAAACAGGTTTGATATCCACCGCAGCGTGGGGTCAGTGCGTTCTTTTTTTACGTAAAGAAATGATTGCTTCTATTCAGTAAGAATCCATTAAGTTGATTATAAGTGACTAAAGACACTTATATTACATCTTCCAACAACTTTAATTAAAGTAAAGAAAAA